AACTGTTTAGCACACGTTTGGTCAAAGGATCGGCTCCACTTGTCTCTTTGACGAGTTGTTGTATGATGCTAAGAATGGCGATACTCACTGACGATGCCGGTGAAACGTTTGGGAATGTACCACGACCACGGTTCGACTTTGGAAATGATCATGCAGACAATGGACTCCGGACTAGGTGCGTTCTTTTAAGTCTTTCTACCAATATGACCAAGTTGCGAAAACAAGGTCAAACTACCTCTATACAAAGAAAGGAGACTGCGACCACACAAAAGGCCACACCATCTTGGCTTTCAAACCTGCTATTTTTTTATTTATATTAATATATAAAAAACCAGAGGATATCTCCATATACAAAATAATAAGTTTTTCAGTAAAAGCTGACCCGCAAGGCGTAAGAAGCCCGAAGGTCCTGGAGCAGGGCCAGATAGCTGATTGGACGACATATAAACAATTGAGGACGGCGAGTCAGCAGACTTGGTGACCACATATCAGCATGAAATTGATTAGACCTGATCCAGTATACGGGAGTACTTGAATCATTCTGCACATCAGACCGCCGTTCGGCAGTTAAGCTGTCCAGAGAGTTCTGATAACGTAATAAATCTGAAGACGATGAGTGAGCGACATGGGAGTTGATAAAACGGGATGCTGGCAAATATTGATGAGCATTGCCATCAGCCCGTCTCTTTATAACCTGAGAGAACGCTGGTTTTTGACTAATGACGATTGGATTTAACGAAGAGCAGTCAGATGGGGAACGGTAGAAGACGTCTTGCCTTAACGAATTCATGGGTTTGCGACTCGTTTTAGATGACAAGCGAAGGCGGAGGAACTGTTTGATCCATGCAGGCAACTCGGACGGCAGTGGTCGACAGATATGTTTCAGTAATGGAGACTTAAAATATATGATGGATAAAAGGGTATGAGATAATATAGATTGACAGATTGAGGAAATATATGCATGATGAAGCTCGGATTCACGGTTGTTTAATGATTGCTAGCAACTTCTAAATTTCTTGATACCTATGTTTATCAGGCCAAATAAAGTAGTAAAAAATATTTAACAGTTGTCAAAAAAGAAACCAAATAGAGTAAAGCAATCCTTGTCACTCCCAGAAGAGGCCTGCATAAAATAAAGAGAAGCTGGTTTTCGAAGAAGCCCTTACTAGATTATCGCTGGCATATCTTTCATATCGTTTGAAAAGGCGGATGGATAGAATTCGTAAATTGATCTCACCGGATACCGAAC